ACACTTCTGACGCCCCCCCCTCCCCCCCCCACTGAGTACACAGGCTCTGCGGAGGAGAGCCCCGAGTGCCCAACGTCAACTCTACTTTGCGAGAAAGATGGAAATCACAAGGTGAATGAAAAACTAAAGGAGAAAACGACTCCGTCCTCTGCCTTTTCGCTGTTGTTGTTGCTGTATATACACAGAGAATATATCCACTCATTGTCGCCTTGCTATTTCATTTTTTTTGTTTTCACTACGCAAAAAAAAGTATGCACTTTTTTTTCAAGTTACCTTTTTTTTTTCGTTTTCACTTGGCCTCTTGTTACTTTTTCCCTACCGTCGTCGGCCGTCAGACAGGCGTACAGGTACACTCTCAAGCACGCCGCAGAATAGAGAGATGGAGAGCGGGAGAGCACGAAGCTTACGGGGTTGAACGCAGAACCTCGGGAAGTAAAAACCCTGGGGTCTTTTTGGTGTCCTCCAGCATCTGCCGCTCCAACTTTCGCTTGATGTAGGAGCGGAACGCCTCGGAGCATCGGTGAAACTGCTGGTCAAACTCTGGATTCTTCGGACGCTGCTTCAAAAACGCATACAACTCCTCGATGCCTTGATTAGACGTCAGATGATTGCGGATACGAGCAAAGATGCTGGACATGGACTTTTCCTCACCTGCAGGAAGAGGGGCTCCCTGTGCGCCTGGCGGAGTTTCGGGTTGTGGCATTGCAGTGGTTGGGTCCACGTGGACGTTTTGGCCGCGTCGGAGGCGGCCGGGCTGCGACGGTGGGACAACTCGCTGCTGTTGAGGCTCATGGCTCTGTGCTTGCCTGTTGGCGCCCCCTGCAGTGTGTTGTTCGCCTTCGCTACTTGCTCGTGCCAACCGCTCTTGGTTCTCCAAGCAGGCCCGAACGAAATGCGTCACGAGGTTTTGTGTTCCCACCAGCCGACTGGCGACGGCAAGCAACGGTGGCCCGCACCGCCTTGAGAGGTCCTGCAAAATTGTCTTTACGGTTCGGATGGAAAGATCGTCCAGGTTACGAAAGGCGCTGGGGGGATGCTGCAGCAAATACTCATGGCAGCATAAAACCACATTATCTGGCGAGACACCGTCGATATCGAGCCTCATCAGGCACTTCACAGTGACCTGAATGTACTTCAGATCAGTCTTCTTACCACTTGCTGTGTATATTTCAGAGTACCTCGCCATACGTGACATTAACGCACTGAACACCTCATTCCCGGGACATCCCTCTAACAGGGTGAGTGTCATGTTGTTGAGCGCCTTGATAACTTCTTCGTGCAACGAGAACGCCTCTGACAAGAGGCAGTCAAAAATCATACCCAGCATCCTAAAGAGAAGACTACTGTGACACCACTGGGTGAAACGGGGTCGCTCAAATATGACCTTTAGGCATCGGATGAGACCAAGAGCCAATGCTGCGTCAAATAACTTAATGTTTTCATAAAGACGTTCTACCATGACTTGAATCATCTCGGGAGTTCCACACACCTCATCATTTTGAATTCTTTTCAAGAATTCGGCACATGTATTGGCGGCTGTTGACGCCGAGGCAGAGCGTAGTCCTACCATGATCTCTTGAATCGAGAGAAGCTCTTCATTGTGGATCTGAGGAGGCGCAATTTGGGTGGCAGGCGCCGACGAGGAGGCTTGCAGTGGCACGCCAGACGGCGCAGCCTCTTTCCCTAGGGAGTTCCGCTGGGACGCTGGCAGGGACAACTGCCCTCCTTGCGACGGCAGCGAGAGATCCGTGCTCCTATGGCTGACACTCATATTCCTGCTTGCCGCTCGCGGCGACCGCGGAGAACGTGGCGTGCACGAAGCAGGCCCCTGAGCTGAAAACAGTGTGGCAAAAGTTGACGTTCGACGACCTTCTTCCTCATTTGTGCCACGGAGAAAAAGCTGCACCTGTCGCTCAATAGGTGCCATGACACTCTGTTGCTCTGCCGGGCGAAGACTCTGTACGGCCCGCAGCACCGCATCATCTCCAACGAGTGGGATAAATTTGCCAATGACACGTTCGGCGGCCAGACGCACCTCAAGAATACGACTCATGCATAGGCGCACGACCGCAGGCACAAGAGAAATGACTCCCTGTCTAGATATCACTGCATCCGGCTCCCTCTGGAAGCCTCGTTCAATAATTTCTAGCGCCGTTTGGTTACAGGCATGCGATTCGGATGTGAGAGGCTTCAGCATACACTGGAGCACGGCATCAAGGCCAAGGCAATCCAGGGCAACGTACGCCACGTTTGTGGCCTCGTCGCGCAAATTCATCTTTTGGTCGCCCAACATCCCCAAGACGCCCTGTAAGATACTCTTAAACCCTGGCCGACATGCCTCAGGGCCTGCTGACTCCACCACCAACGAAATTGTCCGAAGTACATCAATAACAAAGTTTTTATTAACTTCATCAAAACGCGTGCGAAGAGCTCTTAGCAACTCTGTGACCATATTGGGCGCAATACTTTTATTGTTAGCATGCATCACCTCCTCTACTCGTTTGACGCCATCTAAACGTGTTCGCCAATCACTTGCGGTTGTGATTTGTTTAACCAATACAATTAGCTGCTGTGAAACATCCGCACGCATGGAGCCTTTGCTATTTTCGGCGGGAACTTCGGTCTGTTGATCGCCTCGAAGTGACCCAACAGCTCGGTTTTCTACATGAGAGCCTGCTGCGGTTGGGGCGGTACCGTGTTGCCCAGCTCCTCCTCTTGCCGAGTTTCGGCTTTCTACCTTCTGCATGCGCGAGGGGGAAACAGGGGAAGGTGCCCGCTGTATCTCCCCAGCTCCAGCCCCACGGCGGCTTACCTTGGCTCCGTTACTCTGAGCGATGGCTTCCTCGTACGCCCCACGCAGTCCAGGGCTGAGAGTGCTTATGTAGTTATCTACCACAGCACCAGTGTGCATCCGAAGCGCGACCAGCAGCATGACACCAGATGATCGTACCGCGGGGAATTGCTGCCCAAAGCAGTGTAACCTCACATAATCCACCACCCCCTTTGCGTCCACCTGGGATGCCGAAAATGTCTGCAGTAGCTGTATCATGTATTCATTACACTCTTGCATGAGCCTCGGTGTTTTCACGGATGTCACTTCCTCTATTAAATGACGTATCACAAATGAAATACCCTGACGTCTTGCGATGTGAGTCATTAACTCACGAACAGCCGCCTTGTTTTTGGGTTCTGTAAGCCGACAGGTACAGCCTGCTATGATGGCATAGCTTGCCGCGGCGCTCACTGCCGTTGCCCGCGTCACAAGCTCTTGAATTACACCAAGCATAGAATGGAATACCTGAAATATGGACTCGCTCCACCCCGGATCAACACGCAGATACACAAGCACAGTGTCCAAATACTTTGTACATTCATCTTCTGTCCACCCGTCAATCATGGCCCGCACAGTCATGACACCCTTTTGGCGACTTCCCCACTCTTTGGAGCGCAACAGCGGCAACACTGCCATGTTTCCATTCATCAAACCCAGCATGCGCTTAAGCGCCTCCTCTTTAGAGGGGAGCGTTGACTCCAATGCCACCGAGTCATCTACTGGATGCTGCTTCCGAACCTCAGGAGAGGATGGACGCGGCATCACAGAAGAGTGACGTTGCCCTCTCGACGACTTACCAGCAAGAGAAGCCGTATTCATTTCACCAATAGAGAGACTTCGTACGACCACGGAGGCGGCGCTTTCCCGCCGCTCCAGCCGTTGCGTTTTCTTCGCGGGGGAAATCGTCGGCGTACACTGTAGATTGGCTGCACTGTTTATGACAGTGGCGAGTTTGCCGCGCTGCTTATCATCCAAGGAGGCAAGAAGTGGCTGAAAATTGACTTCTCCCAGAAGTGTGATTAACTTTGAGATCAACACACAACTCGCCTCTCGAATCTCCACCTTTTCGTCGTTCATCAGACGGCCAAGCATGCCTTGTGCTCGGCCCAGGCGGTTAAAAGAACCACGGTCTAGTATATCTGTAAGCCGAATAAGCCAGTGTATCAACGCCAGCCTCTGATTTGGAACCCGACTTTGTGCGGTGAGCTCAATCTCATCTTGGCATTGTTCTAACGTGATACACCTGTACCGCATAAGGGTCTCCAGCGTTGTTGTGATGTGCTCGACGACACTCGTTTTCTTGTCCTTCATCTTGTCAAATAACGGGTTTAAAAAGGAGCGTGCATGCGGAGCAAACGTGCTTCGCAAGACCCGCGCTAATTCCTGAATGCATTTAAATCCTAGCAGCATCAGTGGCGCCTGAGGATCTAGCAGGAGTTCTCGTACCATGCCCGCAAGTTCATGATAGTCATCCTTCAGCCGTATCTTTGCTGCGGCGATGAGGGGAAGGAGGTTGTCCTGCACCATTGCAACGCGGTCCTGCCACTTCGCGGTCTTGTCCAGGGCAACCCGGTAGAAATTCCGCGGAAGCCGCGACAGTACAGGTGTTTCATCGTATAACTCATACGCCTCATCGGAGATGTCGTTTGAGGTGCCGTTGTGACTCACCAGTTGGGTCACGGGCAGAGCGGGCTTGACTGGGGTGGAAGGCAAAACACCACGGATATTCCTTCGTGGCGCCTCACCCAGCACCACCTCCTCAAACAGTACCTCCAGTTCTTGCAGTTGAACCTCCCGAAGGTCGGTTAGAAACCCTTTAATACCCGCACCAATAAATTTATAACACTGACAACACAGCAAGGCGGCCTCCTTGCGAACCTGGGCGTTGGCGTCATTGAAGAGCGGCTGCATGGCCTTCAGGATGGATTTCGTAGGCAATCCTGCTACACCGTACTCAGCTACAATCTGCGCACACAACTGGGCGGCGGCCAACCGGTTCTTTGGTGTCTTATGAGAAAAGGCAGGTAGCAACACATCAAACACCTCGGTTTGTTTGGCGGCCCCAACCAAATCAAAGATAAATTTGCAACTCGCCTGCACCGCCCGCGGTCTCCCGGTGACGCCCTTTTCCACCACTAATTTTAAGGGTTCCCCCGCGAGTATGTTCAACTCGTCGTCGTCGCAGACATCTACCAACGCAGCGAGGGCCTCAAAAAGCGCCTCCTGCGCCGCCGTGTTGCCTTCACGCACAAGCTTCCTTGTTTTATCCAGCAGGTAAGACTTGAGCTGGTCCGGGTGGTCCCGCACCCGTTCGAACCCCTCCCTACGCGCCTTCCAGTTCTTGTGGGTCAACAGCGCATCAAGCGGCAGACTGCTGAAGTCTTCGCTCGCCGCCGCCGCCGCCGCCTCAGCCGCCATAGACGGTGTAGACGAAACAACCATGTTGTCGTGCTGCATTTGCAACTACTAACGGAATGCCCTCAAGTGGATAAGTGTAACACAACAAACACTCACCCAGACACCACAAAGGAGGGAAAAGGGAAACGTTAAGCTAACTGTTTATTTGGCTCCTTGGAGTCTGTTATGACGTCTTCTCGTCTAATTTTTTCCACTTTCCGGTTAC